ACACTTTTTCGCTCACCGGGAGCTGCAGCGTTACAGAAAGCAGCTGATTATAAGGAAGTTAATCTTCTTAATCCTATACTAGTCCATTGTAAAACTTCTGGTAAACCATTTTATGCAATTTTGCATCGAGTAGACATGGGATTAATTATAGATCTGGAACCAGTGAATCCAGCTGATGTGCCAGTGACTGCAGCTGGGGCATTGAAATCTTATAAGCTTGCAGCTAAAGCCATCCCAAAATTGCAGTCCTTGCCGAGTGGGAATATATCTCTTTTATGTGAGGTATTGGCTAAGGAGGTTAGCGATTTGACAGGTTATGATCGAGTAATGGTGTATAAATTCCATGATGATGAGCATGGAGAAGTTGTAGCTGAGTGCTGTCAATCGGACTTAGAACCTTATCTTGGCTTGCACTACCCAGCTACTGATATACCTCAAGCTTCAAGGTTCCTTTTTTTGAAGAATAAAGTTAGGATGATTTGTGATTGTTTGGCACCTCCAGTTAAGGTGCTTCAAGACAGGAGATTGACTCAGCCATTAAGTCTATGTGGGTCTGCATTGAGGGCTCCTCACGGTTGTCATGCTCGGTATATGATGAATATGGGTTCTATTGCATCTCTCGTGATGTCTATTACAATCAATGAGAGTGATAGTGAATCCGAGAATGATCAAGAAAAGGATAGAAAGTTGTGGGGTTTAGTAGTTTGTCATCACACAAGTCCTAGGTTTGTGCCATTTCCTTTGAGATATGCTTGTGAATTCTTGATTCAAGTTTTTGGTATACAGATTAATAAAGAAGTGGAGTTGCAAACTCAGTTGAAGGAGAAACATATATTGCGAATTCAAACTGTTCTTTGTGATATGCTGCTAAGAGATACTCCGGTAGGAATCGTTACCCAATCTCCCAATATTATGGATCTTGTTAAGTGTGATGGTGCTGCCTTATATTTCAGAAAGAAATTTTGGTTAGTTGGAGTCACCCCCTCAGAGGCACAAATTAGAAATATAGCTGAATGGCTTCTCGAAGACCATAGCGGAAGTGCAGGTTTAAGTACCGATAGCCTTGTTGAAGCTGGTTTCTATGGTGCTTCTGCTCTTGGTGATGAGGTTTGTGGAATGGCTGCTGTTAGGATCACCTCTAAGGATTTCCTTTTCTGGTTTCGGTCACATATGGCTAAAGAAATCAGGTGGGGTGGTGCAAAACATGACCCAGGTGACCAGGACGATGGAAGGAATATGCATCCGAGATCATCATTCAAGGCTTTCCTGGAAGTGGTGAAGCGGCGTAGTCAACCTTGGGAAGATGTGGAAATGGATGCCATCCATTCGCTGCAATTAATATTACGAGGTTCTTTACAAGATGAAGAAGTTGAAGAAGAATGCAAGGTGATTACAAACGTCCCGTTAGTCGATGAGAAGACACAACAGTTGGATGAACTGCGTGTCATCACAAACGAGATGGTTCACTTGATCGAGACAGCTGCAGTGCCTATCTTGGCTGTAGATGTTTTCGGCAAGATCAATGGTTGGAACTCGAAAGCCACTGAGCTTACAGGATTAGCTATCCAGCAAGCCATTGGCATGCCCTTAGTTGATTGTCTGGTGAATGATTCTATTAAGGTGGTAAAGAAAATGCTGTCCTTGGCCGTTCAAGGTGATTTTTCATCTTAAGATATTATCTATTGTTCCATTGACGTAATTCTGCATCCCTTATTTGATGATTGTTTTGTATGGATATTATCAGGTATTGAAGAGAAGAGCATCGAAATCAAACTCAAAACGTTTGGAATTCCGGGACACGATGGTCCAGTGATCTTAGAAGTTAATTCGTGCTGTAGCCGAGACCTAAACAATAATGTTCTAGGAGTATATATTATAGGGCAGGATGTTACGAAGAAGAAACTGATAATGAACCAATACACGCAAATCCAAGGTGATTACACAGGGATTATGCGAAATCCATCTGCACTTATTCCTCCGATTTTCATGACCGATGACGATGGCCGGTGCTTGGAATGGAATGATGCAATGGAAAAGTTATCTGGTTTTAGAAGGGTAGAGATGACAAATAGGATGCTTCTTGGGGAGGTTTTCACGCTCGAAAGCTTCGGCTGTCGTGTGAAAGATCAGACATTGACCAAGCTTAGGATACTACTGCATAGAGTAATTTCGGGCCAGGATACAGAGAAATTTTTGTTTAAGTTCTGTGATCGTGAAGGAAATTACGTTGAAACACTGCTCACTGCAAGCAAAAGGACTGATTCAGAGGGTAAGATCACCGGGGTCGTCTTCTTCTTGCACGTGGCTAGCTCGGAACTAAAATATGCCTTGGAGATGCAACGGATGTCAGAACAAGCTACAGCTGATAATCTCCATAAGTTGGCATATCTACGTCAAGAAATTCGAAAACCACTCGACGGAATTACATTTATGCAGAATCTATTGGGTTCATCGGACTTGAACGAAGAGCAAAAGCGGCTACTTAAATCGAACACTTTGAGTCGGGAACAATTATACAAGATTGTATATGATACTGATATCCAGAGTATTGAGGAGTGGTATGATTATAGTTACATCAAAACTTTTTTTTTTGCTTTTGGCTTCAATACCTTGTGCTGTTCTCTTGTTGCTATAATCTTTGATCATTTGGGTAATTCCTTGCAGTTACATAGAAACTAACTGTAGGGAATTCAACCTTGGAGATGTTCTTGATGTCGTAATGAATCAAACCATGATTTTGAGCCGAGAGCGCCAGGTGAAGATCATTTGTGAATCACCTGCTGATGTATCATCTCTGCACTTATATGGAGATAACATGAGGCTACAGCAGGTGCTCTCTGAGTTCTTGACTAACACACTTCTCTTCACTTGCAAAGAATCATCCGTCGTCTTCCGAACAACTCCAAGGAAGGAGCGTATCGGGAAGGGAATCCACATTCTTCATCTTGAATTCAGGTAAAATCCCGAAAATCTCTTTGTTCTCATCGTTTGTTAACGGTTTAGTATCTTGTAGAATGGTCATGTCCTGTCATGGGATAAGCCCAAGTTAGTCATTTAGGTTTAGAATGATTAGATGATAGCACTGAAGTTGATAGCAAAATTGTGGTTCTGATACTTCTTTAGCATTTTGAGCCTGTTTACTCTTCACTTCCCAGAGCTAGCATTGGGGTGAGTTAAGTGTCTCGAAGAATAGTGAGGTAGTCGGTGTGAGAACCGAGGGGTGCGCTCTAGAACCCGTAAATATCTATGAGGATAATGTCAAAATTGTGGTTGTGATATTTCTTTAGCATTTTGAGCCTGTTACGCTCACTTCCTAGAGCTATAGTGAGGTAGTCGGTGTGAGAACCGAGGGGTGCGCTCTAGAACCCGTAAATATCTATGAGAACAACGTCGAACAGAATCTTGGAAACTCGTTTTGAGCATATCATGGTTTAATATGCTTCATGTGATGTTAGCTCTAGAATGGCATCTAAATGATCATTTTGAGATATGGTTGTCATATTATGTAGGATCATTCATCCGGTTCCTGGAATTCCTGCGCACTTAATCCAAGAGATGTTTGATGACAACAATGATAGCTCAAAGGAAGGTCTTGGCCTATACATCAGCCAGAAGCTTGTGAAGATAATGAATGGCACTGTACAGTATATCCGAGAGGCCGTGACCTCGTCATTCATCATCCTCATAGAATTCCCCTTGGCCGAGCATATTGCTTAATAACGACGACAACAACGATGACAACGACTTTACTGTTCTACTCTCACTGCATGATTTACTTGAAGATGCCTTAACCAAAGAACGAGCCTTGACACTACTCGGTATCAGGTCGAGATTGTTTGAGAATATGAGTAGATATTAGGAGTGATGTGAGATTATAATAAACGTTGTTGCAGGGCGAGTAGTTTCAAGCTTCAAAGAATCAAAAGAGTCGAAAGTTGTAAAGACACGACGTCTTTATCGACCATCTCTAGAATGTCACAAATCCAAGAACTCTTTTGTAGTTCATTCCCGAAGTCGTCGATTTAGAAGTTTACATCAGAAACTCCAAAAATGCAGGCTTTATGGGATTGGGATGCAAGCACCTGAAATAAGTGAGTAAAATAGAGTTGTAAACTTGTTTATATTGGATGGGCAAATACCCATCATCTCATCTTCACTTGAAATAATATGCAGTTTTTGTTCATTCTTGTTGATTTTCACAATCTCCCCTTGCTCTGTTTATGAACGGAAATGACTTTCTAAGTGCTTAAGACCGTGTTTTTGAGTGAAAAAGTCAATCCAAACGGACCCTTAAATATTTGAACACCCTTTTTTATTCTTAATTTTGATGTTTATTCGGTTGTTGAGACTTCAAAAGGCACACTAACTTAAAGGATGGTTTTAAATGATTGAAGGACGGTATATATTGTAGTATGAGTTGCATTGTTTCAATCTTCTCGTGTTTTTTTTTTTCAAATAAGAGTTGAACAATTCGTGGTTTTGTGAGAGGTTTTTTCGCCTTTTCCATGTATTTTTACTTCGGTTGGTCCTTAAACTTCTCCGTACTCCTCAATCCATGACAACCACGGTTCGTTGTCGCTACCGCTATTGTTACTTAATACGGGAGGAGAAACTCTTTTTTTCTTAATAAACGTTAAAAATAATTTTAAAAAAAGTGGCAGAGGCTGGTAGTGATGGACGATGACTAGTGGCTGGTAGCAGCGGACGATGACTAGGGGTGGCAGCCGTCACAAGAGAGAGAAAATAAAACTATTAATTTTTTTTGAAGAATTTAAAATTTGAAAAAAAAAAAAAAAAAAAAACTCATGTCATCTAATTAATTAAAATTGAGGGAACAAAAATGCTACTATATATGAACTTCATTAATGAATCTAATGCAATTTGGGGACAAAAGTGTAAATTCACGTTTAGTAAATAATACGAAAATGAATATGGATTTTGTTCAAACCAAAGCTTCAAACAATGGGGGATGTGATCAGTCGAGGATTCTAAAGGTTAGTTTTTTCGTTTTCAACGCCTTTTCTTTCCCGGCAAATATTTCCTGTTTGATCAGTCTTTTCCTCATCTTTCTGCTCGCGATTCCCTTTGCTTGAATTTATTGATTCTTGATCCTCTGTAAACTGTTAATTCTTCAAATTCTGCTTCCGTTAGTTTGTTTCTCATTACTGTATTGGTAATTCAACCTGATGCTTGAGAAAAGCTGCAAAATACAATCTGGATGGCTTGTTAGTTGCATTTATGAAGTGTTATCCTTGCTTTCGTTTAGTGATATTCGCAGGTTTCTTTGTTGCATTTTGTCGAACAGGTGCTGTGCAATGCTCAATTTGGGGATTTTACTACAATTTCTTTACATTTTAATCTCTTTTCTCAAGTGGATTTTGCTCTGAAAGGGAATATTTGCTTTGTTTGTGTTTGCTCGTTGAATTTTAAGTCTATGAGCTCAGTAATGAAATGTGGTTACTGCCACTTGAACTGAACTTTATTTGTTTCTTTACTCTTCAGTTCTTTTCTTGCTTGCCATTTATAGCTAAGCCCTATGTTTTAATACAAAACAAAATTGTATATCTGCATTTGCACACATAGATACATTCATGAAATTGTTTCTTTCCCTTCATCCAAATGCTAAACTTGGAAGGACATACCGAACTGGAAACGGAAAAGCAAAGTGTTTTTAAGATACATTCATAAATTTAAAGGGCATTTTCTCTGCTTAACTGATTGGAGCTTTTTGTTTTTCTAATCTTCCAGACGTTTTGGTTAAGTTATTGGATCAATTGGATGTTAAGAGAAAAATAATAACTTTAGGTTAAGGTTTATTGTTTATCTTACAATATTTAGGTCCAGCTAGCAAGACCTGGTTAGGTGATGTGAATGTGTTATTGAAGTGGATTGTTCCTTCTGCTTCTTATTGTCAGTTCTTTTATTATTTAAAGATAATGCTTATGTACGGAAGTGTGTATATGTATTCTTTTTTATTTAAGAGGAGGCCTTTGCTGTTCTTTATTTGAATGATCAAATGTAGATCTACATTTCCTTTTTCATATCACCAGCATGAAAGTGGAGCGTGAAGATTATGTTTTCTCCAGAAATGGCAATGAAGCTACCGGCTAACATTTGGATTCGACGCCAGCAGTGCCCATGTGGAGATTGGAAATGCTATATTAGATACGAAGGTGAAGATCAGGCCTCAATAAGTGCCCGGCTGGTGAAGAGTGAGACGGTACCCTCTCAATTATCTTCAGAATCTGTTTTCGCTCCCTATGTTGGTCAAATATTCAAAAGTGATGAGGATGCCTTTGAATACTACAGCAACTTTGCTCGGAAGAACGGGTTCTCAATTAGAAAAGCACGTTCAACAGAAAGCCAAAATTTAGGGGTTTATAGACGAGATTTTGTTTGTTATCGGTCTGGATATAATCAACCAAGGAAGAAGGCCAATGTGGAACACCCTCGGGAGCGGAAATCTGTAAGATGTGGCTGTGATGCTAAATTGTATTTGACCAAGGAAATTGTAGATGGTGTTAGTCAATGGTATGTGTCACAGTTTAGTAATGTTCATAATCATGAGTTGTTGGAAGATGACCAGGTGCGTCTGCTTCCAGCATATCGAAAAATACAGGAGGCCGATCAAGAACGCATCCTATTACTCTCCAAAGCTGGATTTCCCGTGAACAGGATTCTGAAGGTGTTGGAGTTAGAAAAGGGTGTACAACCTGGACAGTTGCCCTTTATAGAGAAGGATGTTAGGAACTTCGTTAGGACTTGTAAGAAAACTGTTGAAGAGAATGATGCTTTCCTGAATGAGAAAAGAGAGAACGAATTGCTGGAGCTTCTTGAGATATGCAAGGCTATGGCCAAGAGGGATACAGAGTTTGTTTTTGATTATACTAGAGATGAAAATGGTAAGGTTGAAAATCTATCATGGGCATATGGTGATCCTATTCATGCTTATTCTGTGTTTGGTGATGTAGTTTCTTTTGACATGAGCTATCGCTCTCTTACCTATGGGTTACTCCTTGGAGTTTGGTTTGGCATGAGCAATCATGGAAAGGCAATTATATTCAGCTGCGTCTTGCTGCAGGAAGAAAACTCGCATTCATTTTCTTGGGCTCTACAGGTTTGTGGATGCAATTTCTTGTCGTGTGTGCACCTACCTACACGTGTCTTTTCACAGGTTTTTTTTTTTTTTTTTTTTTTTAACAGAAATTTGTACAATTTATGAGAGGAAAGCATCCACGGACTATTCTAACTGATATAGACTCAGGGCTCAGAGATGCCATATCAAGAGAACTGCCTAATACTAAACACGTCGTATGTATATGGCATATTCTATCTAAACTATCAAGTTGGTTCTTGTTGCCCCTTGGATTGCACTATGCAGACTTTAAAGTTCAGTTTGATATGTTGTGGCATCTGGAGAATATATCCGATTTTGAGCATCAATGGGATCTCTTGGTTGCACAATTTGGTCTTGCTTCTGATAAGCATATAGCTTTACTATATTTATATCGAGCATCATGGCCGTTTTCCTTCATTAAAAGTTCCTTTCTGGCTCGTACACTGACAGCTGATTTCTTTCAATCCTTAGAAACGTTCTTGAAAAGAATCTTGGGGGCACAGACATGTTTGCAAGTATTCTTTGAACAGGTATAGTTAACTGCGCTATTCCTTGTTTTGAGATCCCACATCGGTTGGGGAGGAGAACGAAACACCCTTTATAAGGGTGTGGAAACCTCTCTCTAACAGACGTGTTTTAAAAACCTTGAGGGGAAGCCCGAAAAGGGAAAGTCTAAAAAGGGCAATATCTGCTAGCAGTGGGCTTGGGATGTTACATTGTTCTTTCTTGCTGGAGTACTGGTTATCATATCAAACTAAATCTTTCAGTCTGTTGCCTATGTTTTTTGCAGGTCAGTAATGCTGCTTACTCCGGAAGTCGAGCCAAAGAAGGTATGCAGTATTTACATATTAAGACAGGCATGCCTATAGAAGAGCATGCACAGGGTACTCTTACACCTTATGCCTTCAATGCGTTGCAAAATGAAATTGTGCTATCCATGCAATATGTTGCTACAGAAATGGGAAATGGTTCATATCTTTTGCAACACTATAAGAAAATGGATGTCGAGCGTCTTGTTAGTTGGACACAAGATGACGAGCAAGTCCACTGTGCCTGTAAAGAATTTGATCATTCAGGAATATTATGCAGGCATTCAATCCGAGTACTTGCGGTGAAGAACTATTTTAAACTCCCAGATAAATACTTCTTACTTCGTTGGCGACTACAGAACTCTTTAGGTACTATAGACGATGCACATTCTCAAGGCAGAAGCGAAGCATGCGCCCAAGCTTTTCATTCTCTTGCTGCAACTCTCTTGACAGAGTCCTTGGTATCCCAGGAGCGTTTTAATTATGTTCATAGAGAACTCTCAGGCCTCCTTGAGCATGTCAGAACCATGCCAGTAGTCGATGAGTTTTCCTTGAACACGACGACGGTTAACGAGTTTAATGATCCATAGATAATGTGATCTCTCCTCACCATATGTTTTTATCTAAGTTTTCCATCTCAAGAATTCAAAGATCTCGGGGTATGAAATTGAGTGCTCATTTCAACACCACCTATCAGAAAAACTGGGATTCTGTATGAAAATCCCTGCATCATCCAGTGCTTCATAATAGTTGTATTCTTTACAGTTATTGTATAAAAACAATCGATACGAAGAAAAGGAAATCTTACTTTTTTTCTTTTATAGTAAACATGGGGAAGAATACTGTAGAAAGTTAGCTGGAAAGTTGTCTTTCCTGATTTACCTATCAATTTGCTTCTGGTTTCAGTTGCCTTTGTATAATTAACTTAGAATAATATCTTTAAGTCTTTATTCATCATTCTACTTTGATTTGCAACTTGGCTGCTGATTTAGTTTCTGTAAATGAATGATCCTATGCAAAGAGAGGTTGTAGGCACTGATTGGGATGGTAAATTTCCATCTCTGTTCTGAAGCACTCATTTGTTTTTAGAAAACATTAATTTATGGAAAACATTCTTATTCTTTCTGTCTGTTGTTTGTCAGCATCTCTGCAGACCTCATGAATCTGTAGGGTCCCCAGAAGGAAATGGATCAAATGCTCTACAGACCCTCAGCGTCCCCCACACTCACAATGCTGGTATTTGGTCTGTTTGGTTTCTATGAAACAACCCAAGCCCACCACTAGCAAATATTGTCCTCTCCGACTTTTCCTTTTAAGCTTCTCCAAAGAGGACAATATCTGCTAGCGGGACTCAAGCTATTACAAATGGTATCAGAGTCAGGCATCAAACAGTGTGCTAGCGAGGACGATGGACTCCCAAGAGGGTGGATTGTGAGATCCCACATTGGTTGGAGAGGGGAACGAAGAATTTTTATATGGGTGCGGAAACCTCTCCCTAGAAGATGTGTTTTAAAACTTTGGACGGTTATAATTTCAGTGTGGAAGCATGGTTTTCTTGTTACCCCATGTTCTCAAATCATTTTCTGAAGTAAATTGTGCCTTTTCCACAGATGCAATGGAGTGGAGAAAATAGTATGGTTGTTGAGCATGCGGCAAAGGCATGATATTATTGCAGATTCTCCCATAATAAGGTATTTGATCCTTGTTTGTTTTGTTCTTAGAAAGCTAAAGATGTTTGGTAGAATGGGAAGATAATCAGATCAATGAATATCTTGAATCAGCCAATTGAATCATCATATGCAGATAAAATACTTGTTAAATATTATAATCTCAAATCTAAAAGACGAGATGATTTTGATGAGATCAGACAAAATATGTTATGTGAGGTTGAAATCTTCACCCATGTTCAAAAAAGGGAGCATGAATGCCAGCTCATTATGCTCTCAAGACATGCTCACTTACCCAACAATGGTTTGAGGCTGTCCCTACCTGCCTGCCATTATACCCAAAGCTTCTTACAAAACTCACCCCCTTCATCTATGGTTGAAAACCAAGTCCTTGTCTTCTCATTTTTGCTCTTAACCCAACATATGATGTGCTTTTTAAGCATGTTCGGAACTGTTCTTTCTTATTTTCGATAAACTAGATTGTCGAGGATCAATCTCTTTATATCATACTCGTAGCTCGTTCTTGCTAATCTTCACTTAGGCTTGAAGGATGTTTCCAAATTTTCAGACCCTAGCTGCCATAGGTACCCTTTAAGGGTGATGTGGTGTATGAATATGTGAAACACGAACTAACTATTAAAAAATTGTTATATATTTGCTATGGAGCTTTTCCCTAAGACAACATTACAAATAAAAGATGAAAAATTTAAGCTTTGGATGCAACCTTACATCAATAAATAGTTGAACAATCATTGATGGAACAGAGTTGAAAAATCAATGATGGGTTCATCTACCCTGACCGTTTGAAACAACACAAACACTGTAACTTAACATGACATAAAAGACATTTTATGTCATGTTAACCAATAGGATCCATCTTTTGACCCAAAGAATAGTTCATACTCGAAGGTCTTTTTCTGAAAAATGACCTAAGATTTGGAGTCAAGTGACCCTTTCAAAGGAAGCTTCTTGTAGAGTGGGAACAAACATATTGGGACAAAGAAGGACACATAAACAAAAATACAAAAACAAAATGAACAGAAAGACAAGGGACCAAACACCAACCCAAAAGATGCTGTTGACATATCTACTTGTACCACAATCTGTAAAAGAGTTGGAACCATTTATACCCAAATTCATTTTTTTTTCCCTTGAGCAAACATTGGATAAGGACATTGACTCATTTGAGGCCAACTTTTTATTTCTTTATTTAATCTTTATGTTTGTTTTTTTTTCTGGATGCTTCCTCGTGGCGATGTTGATGTTATCAAATTTTAGGAGAAAAATAAATTTAACTTTGAATTGGTGTAACGGTTCACTTCTAACTGATGTCGATCAACTTTGAAGTTTTAAGGATACAATAGTGTAACAGTTCAAACCCACCGTTAACTGATATTTCCCACTTTGACTGTTACGTATCGTCGTCAGCCTCACGATTTTAAAACACGTCTATTAGGGAGAGATTTTCATATTCTTATAAGGGATACTTCGTTCCCCTCTCCAACTGATGTAAGATCTCACCAATAGATTCGAAAGTTTTTTTTTACAAAATGATCCAGACGAACTTATGAACAAATTTGGGTTTTTTTTATTTATATTAATGTAATAATACTCCAAGCTAATTATGCCAATAAAAAAACCACTATTTTCACAATAATTTGAAAGGTAAAATTCTTTCTATATCCAATAACAGAAGAGAAGTGAAGAACAGAGTAAAAATTACAGAGTCAGATTTTTTTTATTTTTTTATTTTTTTTATTTAGATTCTTAGTTACAAAATAAGCACTTGTTGTGATTCCAGTTTGATTCCTGCCTTCATTTTTCTGATAAATTCTTCAAATTTCTTGTCCAATTCTTCATTGCTCAAAGCCCCAACTTCTTCTGCTTCTGCTTTTTCTTCTTCTTGTTCTTCTTCGTGTTCTTGTTGTTGTTCTTCTTCTGTAACCAATCTTTCACTTTCTTGTTCTTCTTCTGCAATAAACCCATTTTCCCTTTCTTCTCCATCTTCAACTTTTCTCTCAATTATTGTGGTGGAATCCTCCATTGCAGCCCCTAGAGCTTCAGCTTCTCTGCTGCCATGTCCGCCGCACTGTTCGCGGCCAGAGCTACTGATAAGACCGGAGTTTCGAACGATGAAGACAAGGAGGCCATTGCAGAGCAAGAACATGTAGTTTTTATGGATTGTTGCAGAGATATAAAGGTTCAAAGAGTGGAGGAAAGGGAGGAGAGATGAGTAAAACACCATTGCAGAGAGCACAGAAGCTGAAATCACTAACTTCATTGTGGAAAATCGGCAAAATTTGAAGAACTTGATTGAAGATTTGATGATTTTGGCCAATTGGGTCAATTGGGTGTTTCAAGTTTTTCACAAAGATTCAAACTTTTTTCTGTTCTTTTGAAGAAGAAGACTGGTGGGAGTGGAATTGGGTGTTTTAAAAAAAATGCATTGTTTTTGCTATATTTATAATGAATTGTGGAACAGTGTGAACACAGAAAATAGTGCTTTTACAATATTACCCTTTATCGTGTAGGGTGGTGTCAATGACTTAGGGAAGACTTTGACGGTGACTTCTTAATTCTATTTGTACCAAATGTTTGTGTTTGAAAAGTATGAAAACCAGTTAGTTTCAAGATCTCGAATGGAACAAATATCTCTTTTAGAGAACGTAATAACAATTGATCCTACTTAAAACGAGTTGGCTATCTTTATGGCATCGATAGTTCAAGTTCGTGAAGAGAACTGAACAAATAGAACCTGAAAGTGGATTATAGCGGTAAAAAAAATGGAGTATTAGCATGAGAGAGAAGCGTGCATTCACGTTTTTAGAAAACGGGATAAAAAATTTAATATTTCAAACATAAATAATAATAATAATAATAATAATAATAATAATAATAATAATAATAATAATAATAATAATAATAATAATAAGTGATTTATTTATAATAAAAATAAATAAATATCTTATTTTATTCTTTTTTCTCTTGACTTTAGGTGGACTTGAAATAATGAAATATATAAAGCCAAGTAGCTAAGATGGATTGGGCTCTCAAATGTGAAAGGAGTAGAGAGGGCCCCTTGACTAAAGGCCCATGAGATCTTAGCCCATTAACAATTATGGACTCAAAAGCCCAACATTGGTGAAGAAAATGTATTTTCTTATAGTGGTTGTTATAATATATAAATATAGCTTTAATCTTATGCTAATAAAGTTATTTAATTTTTTATAATTATTATAATTATCGTAATAACATTTTGAAAGCCGTTGTTTTCTGCTATGCACTAAGGGGAGACTTGTGGACCTTTACCGCCTTTTTTTTGTTTTCTTTTTAATAGTTTTTCATATTTAAAAATACTATTAAAAGTGTATTTTCTTATAGTGGTTGCTAGTGCGACAAAATCAAGACGAGGAAATGACATATTTACGATGGAAGACGCTATAGAGCTCTACGTTAAGAGGACAGATGTGAGCGAGAATGCGAGAGTGAATGAAAACAAATTGAAGAACTCGAAAAATTTCTTCAATTTTAACTAGAGGGACAATACGGGGAATTCTCTCAGTTAATTGACGCTAACAACAGGTTACAGAAACTTAAGTCAAACTCGAAAACGAAGGTTAGATGTTCAACCAGGCACGAACATACAAGGTCAACAAGGTCTTTTTGTCTTTTAAAAGGAGTCAACATTGGCGGGAAGAAAATTAAATATATTGTCTAGTGGCTCATGGCCACCAATTATTGCTACCTAGTTGGACCAACTTGTTTATATGTACTTTTTGGTTCAAAATTTCAAATAGTTTGAAATGGGTGAAATTACTAATCTTTCAACGATTCTTAATAAACTTTTAAAAGTAAATTTTTAAACTTTTAATTTTGTGTTTATTGAATTTTCAAATACCTAAATTGATGCCGAATAGATACTTAAACCTCTATTTAAAAACATTTTTTAAAAAAATGTTGTTTAAGTCTACCTATTTTAATTATCTAAATTTAACTTTTTAAATAATAATAAAAAAATAATAATTTTTTAATTAAAAAACACGACCACCTGCATATATTTCTAAAATTTATAAAGTTAGTTAATTTTTAAAATAAAATAAAAAAATAAATTAACTCCACGAATTTTCTTTTAGGTTTATTAAAAACAGGACTAGTGTGAAATAAAATTAAATTATAGAGACTAAAATAGAATTTTAATTAAACAATGACTAAATGAAAACACCATAATATTAAATAATTTATATTAGTCAAAACTCAAAAACAAGAAAATTGAGTGTAAGCCTGTATTTCCACCTCTCTTGAAGAAAAAATGGGATACAATATTATGAAAAAAATCAACATATTTATTTATTTATTCCACGAAAAACGCTGATTTCCAGCCGAATCGGGGTTTGAATCTTCACTTGTTTAGAAAACCATCATCATCCTATCTTCTCAAGATCAGCCATTACCGACCACCATGAAGAAGATGAAGCCATCATGTTGCTGTCTGGTTTTCTTGTTCTTCCTCGTCTTCTCTGCAACTCAATGCTCCGCCGCCACCTGCCAAAGCTCAGAGAGGGCTGCTCTGCTGCAGTTCAAGAACACCTTCGTCCCTAACCCTTCTTGCTTAGGCTCTCCTCCGGTGGTTGCTTCCTGGGGCGTTGAAGGTGGAACAACAGATGATTGCTGCTCCTGGGACGGCGTCGAGTGCAGCAACCAGACTGGAAATGTTGTCGGAATTGATCTTGCCGGCGGCTGTCTGTACGGTTCCATTGACTCTAACAGCAGCCTTTTTCGACTGGTTCATCTTCAAACTCTTACTCTCTCCGACAACAACTTCAATTTGTCCCAAATCCCTGGAGGGATTGGACAGCTTACTGACTTGAGGCAGCTGGATCTTGCTGGTTCTGGGTTTTCTGGGCAAATCCCTTCGGCGATATTAAGGTTGTCCAAGTTAGAGACCCTGCGTCTCAGTAGCCTTAATATATCTTCTGCTGTTCCTGATTTTCTTGCAAATATGTCTTCTTTGAGGTCTCTGAGTTTGGGAGCTTGTGGGCTGACTGGAATTTTTCCACAGAAAATCTTTCACTTACCAAATTTGCAACATCTTGTTCTTCCATACAATCCACATCTCTCTGGTTCTTTGCCTGAGTTCAACATGAACAGTTCTCTTGTGAGGATATGGCTTGAACAAACAGCATTTCATGGTGAACTACCTTCTTCCATTGACAACCTTAAGTCCTTGACTTCCTTAAAGTTAGGAAATAGTAGTTTTTCTGGGATTGTTCCTGCCACAATTGGTAACCTTACTGGACTCCTGGAGTTAGAGCTTTATGCAAACAACTTTAGTGGCCCAATCCCGTCGTCACTCGAACGCCTAACCGAGCTGACTCGTCTATTTCTTAGCTATAATGAGTTTAGAGATGCAACTTTGTCTTGGGTTGGTAAGCAGAACAAGCTTGCTTACTTGGGACTTTCTGGGATTCGTTTAAGTGGCACTCTGTTGCCTTCTGTTGGAAACTTGACTAACCTTGTTCAGTTACTTCTGGGTGAAAATGAACTAACGGGTGAGATTCCATCTTGGATAGGCGATTTTGCAGAGCTAACCGATCTTCATCTGTATGGAAACAAATTGAGTGGTTCAATTCCCAAGTCTTTCTCTCAACTAATGAACCTGAAGCACCTTTATCTTCAGTCTAATTACTTGAATGGGACTGTGGAAATGAGCATGTTTATGAAACTTGAGAGCCTTACTGAACTTCACCTCACTGCCAATAAGTTGACAGTTCTTGATGATCATGTAGGTAAACCAAATGAAACACTTCCAAACTTCAACCTTCTAGGACTTGGATCCTGCAATTTAACTCAGATTCCAACATTTCTTGAAAAACAGAATGAGTTAGAGTTATTAGAACTTGGAGAGAACAATATTCAAGGCCAGATACCCAAATGGATGTGGAGCATGAGTAGAGAAAGATTGATGGTTTTGAACTTGAGTCACAACGCCCTAACTGGTGTAGAAGAGTTTCAAGATGCTCTTCCTTGGCTTAATCTCACTGTGTTAGATCTCTCTAATAACAGGTTACGAGACTCGCGTCCAATTCTACCAGCCATATGCAAATTAAGCAAGCTCGTGGCCCTCGATTTGTCGAGTAATCTAATGAGTGGTGTGCTTCCACAATGTATTGGAACTTTCGGTTCTTTGGATATTATGAACTTTAGACAAAACTCACTTTATGGAACTATTCCTGATACCTTCAGAAGTGGGAGCAAACTAAGGTTTCTTGATTTCAGTCGCAATCAGTTGCAAGGTCAAGTACCAAGATCGTTAGCCAATTGCAAGATTTTGGAGATCATGGACTTGAGTGACAATCGGTTGACCGATGGTTTTCCTTTTTGGATTGGAACTCTTCCAATGTTAAGACTTCTAATACTTCGATCCAATCACTTCCATGGAAAAATCGAAGAACCTGAAACCAATATGGAGTTCCCTATGTTGCGAATTGTTGATTTCTCCTTCAATAACTTTTCGGGTGATCTCCCATTGAAGTATATAACTAATTCGAAAGGAATGAAGATTTTCAACACAACTGCGTCAGCATATCGAAACACATTTATAACTTTCTCATTCGACTATGTTTGGGCTCTTGAATTTTTCTATTCCACCACAATAACCATGAAAGGTTATCAGAGAGATTACTCAAGGATTCAAGAGGTTTTTACAAGTCTCGATCTCTCAAGCAACAGATTTGAAGGACAGATACCGGATCTTGTTGGGAACCTAGAAGGCCTTCAATCTCTCAACCTTTCCCACAACATGCTTTCTGGCCCCATCTCGCCATTGATGAAGAACATGGCACGACTGGAGTCTTTGGACCTGTCACACAACCAACTCTCAGGACCAATACCTCCACAACTCTCACAACTTCATTTCCTTTCAATATTTGATGTCTCTTACAACAATCTCTCTGGTCCAATACCAACAGGGAACCAATTTAACAATGTTGATAACAGCTCGTATGTGGGGAATGTGGGATTATGTGGAGATCCATTATCAAAGAAATGTGGAGATTTCAAGCCACCTTCATCAGATTCTGATGAGGATGAAGATGAGGGATCTGATTTTAAGATAAAGTTTAAGACTGTATTGATTGGATATGGATGTGGAGGGTTGGTTGGAATGATTGTAGGGAACTACATCCTTGGAAGGAAGGAAGAATGGTTTAAAAAGACCTTCAAGATTGGAATACCCAAAAACTGGGAGGAATGAAGGAGAGCAAGATGAGACCCTGGAGTGGATGATATTGGGTATCTCAGATGCCTGAATATGAAGGACATATTGTTGCTTTATCTTACTTTGTTGTTTCCAAGTGTAGAAAAAGGGCTCTTGTTGTAACACAACAAATAGGAACAGGAATTTTGGCTGATTACACATGTAGAACTTGTACTTAATACAACTATATTGTTTATATATGTAACATAGTGAGTATATATGATTCAAATACAGCAACTCCCACCATCAACAGCTGAGTTTTCA